TTTTTTCATGAATTGTTGCAAATTTTACTTTATTTCTCCCTCCCTGCATCTTACCTGTGGCCAAGGAGGGGGGAGGTCACATTCCCTGGTGGTTTGGTGGCATGGTGCGGGCCCCCGACTATCTGTACACTGCAGAGGGAGCCCAGCACAATCGATCTCCACTTCCCAGCTGTTCTTCTCTGTTTAACTCTAGTGAGCTCCGCTGAATGTTGCCATGGTAAACCATGGCAAATCTCTGATGACTGCGCGACTCACAAGAGTAGAACAGCTGTGAAGTGAAGATCGATTGTGCTGGGCCCCCTCTGCAGTGTACAGGTAGTCGTGGGCCCACAGGTGTACATATATATTATCGCTTTATTTGAGTGCACATGGGGGAATGTGGAGCATGGAACTTCCTGAGCAGTCTGGGCCCCCAGTCCTGACTAAATTTGGGCACCCCTAATCTAAATCTGCCCCATCCCTTCATGTCAAGGTTGCCCCTCTTTCTGATTAAGACATGCACTTTGACTGACAGACATGTCCTCACTGCAGGGGAGGGCTGGCAGCCTTAGGCCTGGGGGGCAAAACCAGTCAAGTGGCCCATTGCACCACCAAATCAGTTCACCATCCATGCCCACTTTTTCCTGGTTTTCTAACGGATATTGATGTTATGCTAATCAGTAGCTCTTTGCCATTTGTCAGAGCGAAGGCTGAGAATCTCTGAGCCTGTGCTCTGACACACTAACTGAGTGCCGGAACCACAAGGGAGAGGATATAATCTGACTGCACCTACTGCTGGTGCGCACCAGTGGACCACCAGCGAATCGTTTAAATTAAATATGCTAGTGTCCCCAACTTGTAAGCTGTGTTGGCCACCAGGCGTTTCTGTTGTCATGGCAACCTGCGTGACTGCACAGCGTGCACACCCCAACAGCTGGCCCTGCTGACACACACTGATGTTACTACTTAGAAATCCCTCAATATTAATACAGACATCAGAGTAAACACCAATAAACTGTGGAAACAGAGCTGATCCCCCAAATTTATTAAGATTTGCTTACTGGATTTGTTGTAAGATTAAATCATGCCTTCTCCTCTCTCTCTCCCATGCGCTGCTCTGTAGGCTGGGAGGAAGTGAAGAGTAATCACACTCTCCCAGCAAAGCGGCACCTGTGGCTGCATGGGGAACAGCTGAATTTGCCTCCCCCCATGTGACATCACAATGCCCCACCCATATAATCTGCCATATGAACTAATGCCAGTGCTGCACACAGTTTGTGTTTACATTAAAAAGCCTGCAGGGACCGGCTATAGACACCAGAACCACTTCATTAAGCTGAAGTGGTTCTGGGGACTATAGTGTCCCTTTAATGTGAGGTAAATTAGAGATTAGTGTCACTAATAATATACTAGATTCAGGGGCGTTTTAGCCACGAGGCAAACAAGGCATTTGCCTTGGGCGGCATTTTTCAGGGGGCGGCAAAAACGCCGCCCCCAAATGCCCAGGGCAAATGCCTTGTTAGCCTTGCGGCTAACAGACATGCCGGTCGGGCTGGGCGACGCTGGCTGCTGTGCGGGCGGCTGGCGAGGGAGCTCTTCTTCTGAGCGGTCTGCTCAGCTCCCTCGCGCGCCGCAGAGTGAGGCTGGGAGCCGGAGTATGAGCAGAGTGGACCCCCAGGGAGAGAGGGAACCCCCCCCAGCATTCCCAAAGGTAAAGAGGCTGGAGGGGGGAGTTAAAATAAATAAATGTGTGAGTGTGTCTGTTAGTGTGTGTGTGTGTGTGAGTGTGTCTGTTAGTGTGTGTGTGTGTCTGTGAGTGTGTCTGTTAGTGTGTGTGTGAGTGTGTCTGTTAGTGTGTCTGTTAGTGTGTGTGTGAGTGTGTCTGTTAGTGTGTGTGTCTGTGAGTGTGTGTGTGTGTGTGTGTCTGTTAGTGTGTGTGTCTGTTGGTGTGTCTGTTAGTGTGTGTGTCTGTGTCTGTGTCTGTTGTGTGTGTGTGTGTCTGTGTTGTGTGTCTGTTGTGTGTGTGTGTCTGTTGGTGTGTGTGTGTCTGTTGGTGTGTGTGTGTCTGTTAGTGTCTGTTGTGTGTGTCTGTTGGTGTCTGTTAGTGTGTGTGTGTCTGTTCTGGTGGTGTGTGTGTCTGTTAGTGAGTGTGTCTGTGTGTGTCTGTCTGTTAGTGTGTGTGTGTGTGTGTCTGACTGTTAGTGTGTGTGTCTGACTGTGAGTGTGTGTGTCAGTGAGTGTTTGTGTCTGCTAGTGTGTGTCTGCTAGTGTGTGTCTGCTAGTGAGTGTGTGTGTCTGCTAGTGAGTGAGTGTGTTTGTGTGTGTGTGTCTGTGTGTATATGTTTGCCTGTGAGTGTGTGTGTGTCTGCTAGTGTGTGTCTGCTAGTGAGTGAGTGAGTGTCTGTGTGTGTCAGTGAGTTTGTGTTTTTGTTAGCTAGTGTATGCGTATCTGTCAGTGAGTGTGTGTGTGTGTATTTAGAAGGCGGGGCGGGGGGAAGGGATGGGTGGGGGTCGCGCCCACGTGGAGGGGTTGGGGGGGCTAGGGCAGCACAAAACCAGGATACACCACTGACTAGATTGCCTACTCACAACCAGATGAGGATGATGATGGGCTGCAGTTTGGCTCCACTGGTCTGGTGTAGAACAGGATCTCTGTGGTCACAAAATTCAATGATCTGGGAGAATTAGAAGCAGCTCCATTTTTTGGGGGCCCCTTACAAAGCTCAAGGTCTGGGTCCCAGGGCCTGATGGTGAGTATGCCCACTTAAAAGTCCACTTATATGTTCCACCTACCCATGAGTTCGCTCACATGGAGTGGAGTGTGTAGGGGATGTATTATGTGTTATTGCAGAGGATCTAATATGTGTGCCTAGGTATGTAGTGTATAGGGATACCAGTTTGTGTAGGTGATGCAGTGTGTTTGTGTGTATAAGGGATGTATTGTGTGTTTCTGGTTGTGTGTAAGGGATGCATTGCGTGTTTCTGGTTGTGTGTAAGGGATGCATTGCGTGAGTCTGTGTTTGTATGCATAAGGGATGCAAGGTGTGTGTCTATATGTGTGTGCATTGAGTGTGTGTAAGAGATGTATTGTGTTTCTGTGTGTATGTAAGAAAAGCAGTGTGTGTGTTTGCATGTGTGTAAGATTTTGCATTGTGTGCTTCTGTGTATGTGTGCAAAGGATGCATTGTCTTTGTGTGTAATGGTTGCATTGTGTGTGTGTAATGGATGCATTGTGTGTTTCTCTGTGTGTAAGGGAAGCATGTTGTGTTTCTGTGTGTGTAGGGATGCATTGTGTGTTTCTGTGTATGTATAGGGATGTGTGTGTGTGTGCGCGTAGTGTAAAAGAGCTGGCTGTCTTGCCCCCTGTCCTATAGAGCTGTCCCTTCTGTCCCTTATAGCTCTCCCCTGTCCCCTTAGTGGTCTCTCCTCTCCCCCACCCTCCCCTAGTGGTCTCTTCTCACACTCACCCACCCTCCCTGTGCTCTTCTCATCCCCCTCCACCCTCCATGTGTTCTCCTCACCTCCCCCCTCCATGTGTTCTCCTCACCTCCCCCCATCCCTGTGTTCTCCTCACCTCCCCCCGTGTTCTTCTTACCCCCTCTCCTCCCTGTGTTCTTCTTACTCCCTCTCCTCCCTGTGTTCTCCTCATCTCCCCTTCTCCTCACCCCCTCCCTTTGTTCTTCTTACCCCCTCTCCTCCCTGTGTCCTCTGTATCTCCCACCTCCCTGTGTTCTCCTCATCACCCACCCTCCCTGTGTTCTTCTCAGTCCCCCCCCGTTCTCCTCACCTCTCCTTCTCCTCACCCTTACTCTCCACCCTCCTCCTTGTATTCTTCTTAACCCCTGTTTTTCTTACTCCCCCATTCTTCTTACTCCCCTCCCCTTCTGATACCGGAGAAACTGACGGAAGCAAAGCACAGAGAGATGGACACAGGTTTCTTCAGGAAGGAAGAGATTCTTTATTGGATCACCGATCGGGACTCAGAGGGACTAATGTCACCAAAAATACAGCAAGTTCTGAGCCCTGAACAATAGTGCAGGCTCCCTATATAGGCACATAACTCCTCCCATATTAAGCTCCACCCGCACATTCTCTTGACCAATCATTACAAATAAGAATTAACTTCCTGCTTGACCGCATGGCTTGTCCAGCACAATGGAGGAGGGGAATACTACATCCTGTATTCTTGCACATGCTCCGTACACTACTGATCGTATCTTGCCTCGTGCAACCAACTGATCGATACGTCAGCATATGCACGTACACATGCCACGTGGTAATCTCGGCCTACTAAATTTATTTTTACCGAGATTCCACCACATTCCCCCCTTTGATGCCTCTTGATATTTTACAATTACTTGAGGCATCACTTAACCTTGGTTTGCATACACCACAAGTTACCTTTGAACCAGACCAGACTTATCCTATGATGTGAATCTTCAACACTCGTCTTCCTGCATTGGTTCTCCCTGATCTAGAGCCTTATATTTATAAATTGCCATTATCTGTGCAGCAGCCTTCCTTTCTGCTATATTTTCTATCAGGCTTTGCACAGACCTAACTACTAAGGGTATAAGACACGGCAGGAGTAGACACAACATTAAAATCAGTAGGACTCCACCTACCACTGCCTTAAGCCCTCCAAACCACTCATACCAGCTACCAAACCAACTACTTGGATTGTACCCTTTCCATACCTGAGTAGGCACATGCGCTAGTTTAACCATATGGCTAGTAAGCTCAGCTATTGCTTGCCCTTCGTCATCTATTTGAAGACAGCAATTGCTCAGGTTAAACTTCCCACATACACCTCCCTCTACTGCCAAAAGATAATCCAAGGCTAATCTATTTTGGTAAACTGCTGTCCTCATCCTGGTATTATGCTTCGCTAGAAGATTGAGCGCTTGTGATGTCTCGTTAGTAATGATCTCAACCACCGCCTGTAACCTTATAATGCGGTTGAGCATATAAATAGGGGTTCTATAACCAAAGGTACCATCCTCTGCCCACGTGGCTGGCCCATAATAATCTATAATACGCTGGGGAGGCCATTCATTATCTTCCCAGGCACCTATCTCTATGGGTCCCCTTTTCTTCCTATGATTCACATCATACACTTTAACACCTAAAGTCTCACCTGTTTCAATAGGCAACAAGAAGAAGGATGGTTTCAACATACCCAACACACATGCCCCTTCCCAGTCCTGTGGTAACTCCGAATAGGCCTTCTTACCACAGATCCAGTACAAATTCGCTGGGGCTCTCCAGTTAGATGTGATGGATAGATCAAACCATACGTCCTTTAAATTGGCATATCTTGCAAACGGGTTAGATGGTTCTGAGACATTTGAAGCCGACCACCAAGTTGTATTCTTTGTATCATCATCATAAGCTTTTTGCCCTAGACAAGTTAATTCTCCTACAGAAGTATTATACATCATTCCTTTCCTCGCTATGCAAACATAACCTATGATGGAGGTCTTCAATCTCCACTCAGATTTACCTCTAACACTCATATGATAGTCGGCTTGTGTAGATATTAATTGATCAACTGCCTCAGAACCGGACATTACCTCCTTTGCTTCCCAAGGCCATTGGTCTCCCATGTTAGTACCTCCACACACATAGCAGTTGGTAACATTAAGACTACCAGCAATACTTTCGGCTAAATCAATGAACAAATTTTTAGCATTATGGGGGATCTTATTATCTATGCTCATCTCTTCATAAAAGGAATGGTATACTTGATGAGTTTGGGAGGTTACCGTATCAGTCTCTATCCCTATAAACAATATTGTCCCAGGGTCTAAACCCGTCCCATATATTTGAAACCCAAATAAATTACCATATTTATCTAAGAACTTGTCAGGGTTATTTATAAGTATATGGATTGGATTGCATTCCATAGACTTACAATATGGATCAGTAGGCAACTTAGTCACAATCATGTCCTTGTCTGCTGTCTGTCCCCAAGTCGCCCACCCCACACAAGACCAATATGGGCAGAAGTTATAATCTCTATTTGGGCATCTTGGACTTACATATTTATTTTTACTACTGGGACAAATATATTTATCGTTAGACCCATACGTCCTCTCCCATCTAAGATCCCCACATACATTCCACGGCTTTCTACCACTTGATATTGCTTTACACGCATCAAATAGCAGAGCACCTGAAGAATATACGGATTTTAATACCGTCTTATTAATTAGGGTCCCCTGAGGATCTCCATTTCTGAGAGTCAACCAAATTGTACGGGGTTGATACTCAGGACTGAAGCACTTAGGTTCTCCTACTCCTAAATGACACACACTATATTCTATATTTAAGTATCTACATCTTGATACATCTCCTTTACACTCATATTGCGAATGCCAAATTAGGGTCTGGGATATATGGTTACCTGTTCTTGTAGTCTTAATGCATACCTCACAGCTAGGAGTGTCGGTACCTCTACCTTCCTGAATATAAAAATACACATAAATAAACATTATTAAAAATACATCTTTCGTCGTCATCCTCAGTCTTCGTCCGTGCGAAGGCACCTCAGCTTCCAGGATGTAAGGGCTGCAGGGAATGGAGTTCTGCTCGTCTTCACAGGGGTCCCCTCAAGACTTTCCCTGACTTATACACTCGTTGGTGAGTGGACAGGCTTTATTATGGCCTTCTCACTCACTTACCAAGTCTCTGAAACAATAAAATTTGTAATCCACAAGGTTCCTCGTCACTCCGACTGAGTCGTGCGTTTTAACCGGATCTTGCAGGGATTCTCTGGATTTGCTGTAACTTGCCAGGAATCGGCTGCTGCTGGTTTAACCCTGGAGTGATGTATCCACGGAGTCACTTCGGCTACTTTTATCGCTGTAGGGGTAGACAAAAGAACAACATAAGGACCTCTCCACTTGGGCCCTAACGGCACATTATTCCACTCTTTAATCCACACTTGGTCGCCTGGGTGGTAACTATGAATTGGGGGATAAATATTCACAGGTAATCTATCTTGTACCCATTTCTGTACCTCCTCCATAGTCTTACCCAACTCTACAACCTGCTGCCGGGTAATTCCTTCTCCCAACTGACTCAAATCCCCCCTTAAGTTACCAAGCACGGGAGGTGGTCGCCCGTACATGATTTCAAAAGGAGAGAGGCCCATCCTTCTGGTAGGTGTACTACGGATTCGCAATAGAGCTATGGGCAAGAGAACGTTCCACTTAAGTTGGGTTTCCTGACACATTTTAGCCAACTGATTCTTAATAGTTCTATTCATTCTCTCTACCTTACCAGAACTCTGGGGTCTATATGCCGTATGAAGCCTCCACTTTATACCAAGCATATGAGTCAGTTGTTGTAGGCACTGAAACTGGACTCCTGGTGGCTTTACTGGTCCTTGTCTTGCATTATTTTTAGCACACGTTACACATCTACGTACAATGGCCTGAATCAAGTTGGACAATCTTGGTATGTAGAAATGTTTTCTGAGAGATTCTTCTGTACTGTCTCTCCCAGAATGTGTCCCGTTATGATAGTTTTGGACAATTTCTACCGCTAGTGATGCTGGAATAACTATTCTTCCATCTTCTAACTGATACCATTTGTTCTCCAAATACTTTCCAGGTTCAGTCCTTAACCACTCCTCTTCTTGAGCTGTATAAATTGGAGTCCATTGAGACAGTGGAGTTGGTATAAGAGCAGCTATATGCCCCACATATTCCTGTCTTCCTGATTCAGCAGCACGCTTAGCTGCACTATCTGCCATCCGATTCCCTTTGGTTACATCACCATCTCCTCTCAGATGCGCCCGACAATGTATAATACCGACTTCTTTCGGCTCCCACACTGCTTCCAATAGTTGTAGGATCTCAGCTGCGTATTTGATTTCTTTGCCTTCTGAATTCAATAGTCCTCTTTCTTTATACAAAGCTCCGTGGGCATGAGTGGTTAAAAACGCATACTTGGAGTCCGTGTAGATGTTCACTCTTAAACCTTCAGCCAATTGTAACGCTCGTGTCAGTGCTATCAATTCTGCCTTTTGTGCTGATGTTCCTTTTGCCAGTGGCCGAGCTTCTATCACCTTGTCTATCGTTGTTACTGCATATCCTGCATAGCGGATCCCTTCTTTTACATAACTACTGCCGTCGGTGTAATATTGAACATCAGGGTTCTGGATGGGAAAATCACGAAGATCTGGTCTACTTGAAAATACTTCATCCATTACTTCCAAACAATCATGTTGACTTTCAGTAGGTTGTGGCAAAAGGGTAGCTGGATTTAAGGTATTTACAGTCTCTAAATGCACTCTTGGGTTTTCACACAACATTGCTTGATACTTGGTCATACGGCTGTTACTAAACCAATGATTTCCTTTGTAATCCAACAACGTCTGTACTGCATGTGGAACTCGTACATAAAGTTCTTGACCCAGAGTGAGTTTATCGGCTTCAGCTACTAGCAGGGCGGCTGCAGCTACAGCTCTTAGACAAGGTGGAAGTCCGCTGGCCACTGCATCCAGTTGCTTAAACATGTAGGCAACAGGTCTTTGCCATGATCCCAAGTACTGTGTCAATACTCCCACAGCCATTCTTCTTTGCTCATGTACATACAGGTAGAATGGCCGTGTGTGGTCAGGTAGACCTAATGCTGGGGCACTCATCAAAGCCCTCTTCACATCTTCGAATGCCGTTTGCTGTTCTTGAGTCCATAAGAAGGGGTCGTGCTCTGTACCTTTGATAGCTGCATACAGAGGTTTTGCCAGTATCGCGTAGCTGGGAATCCATATCCTACAGAAGCCTGCTGCCCCCAAGAATTCTCGCACTTGTCTTCTATTCCTGGGTATCGGTATTTGGCACACAGCTTCTTTTCTCTCTGGCCCCATAATTCTTTGACCTTCAGAGATATGGAATCCCAGATATTTGACAGTTGGCAAACACAACTGAGCCTTCCTTCTAGACACCTTGTATCCTGCCTTCCAGAGAATGTGTAGTAGATCGTGCGTTGCTTGCTGACATACTTCCTTTGTAACTGCTGCTATCAACAAGTCATCTACATATTGTAATAATACACACTCTCCTGGGATAGACTCGAAATCTAGTAGATCTTGACTTAGAGCTGAACCAAATAGGGTAGGTGAATTTTTAAACCCCTGGGGCAATCTTGTCCAGGTCATTTGGCGTTTCGAGCCCGTTACAGCATTTTCCCATTGGAAAGCGAAGATACATTGGCTTTCTGCGGCAATTCGGAGGCAAAAGAAGGCATCTTTGAGATCTAAGACTGTAAAGTAAGTAGCCCCGCCCGGAATTAAAGCAAGCAGGTTATATGGATTGGGCACGACTGGATGTATACTAACAACCGCATCATTGACTGCTCTCAAGTCCTGCACAGGTCGATACTCATCTGTACCGGGCTTTTGAACAGGCAGCAATGGGGTGTTCCAGGGGGAAGTACAGAATTTTAGGATACCATACCGTATGAACTTATCCAGATAAGATTAGATGTTCTTCTTAGCCTTCTGCGGAATATGATATTGTCTCAGGCTTACTGGATAAACCCCAAGTTTTAGTTCGATTTTAATGGGTGGAATATTGCGGGCCAGTCCTGGTGGGTTGTTCTCTGCCCAAACTCCTGGTATGTTAAATAAGGATTCATCACTCCTCGGGTTTTGGCTAGTCAACACTGTATAAAGTCGCCACTCTTCTTCCTTTGGTACGGACAATGTCATAATACCTGAAGGTCCATTAAACTTTAAGGATGTTGTTCCATTTGGTAGGAACGTAATCTGCGCTTGTAATTTGGATAGCATATCACGTCCCAGCAATTGGACTGGACACTCAGGCATATAAAGGAATTGATGTTTTACTACGTGGCCTCCCAATGTACAGAGTCGACTTTTAAGAACCGGTTTTTCAGCACTTCTTCCAGTTGCTCCTATTACAGTAATAGTTCTTCCAGATGTAGGAGCAACTTGATTAGTCACCACCGAATGTTCAGCACCAGTGTCGATCATGAACGCACTCCTTTTTCCCCCTATTGATACATCGACCATAGGCTCCGCTCGACCAAGGGGGATGGAGCCCGGTCGGTATCAATAGTCCTCCATGACCGTGTCAGCCAATCCCACAAAGTCCCTACCTTCTCTATCGCGGGACCTTTGCGCTGCTGGATAGTACCTATCTTCCCTTACACTTCCTCTGTTCCCATTACTCCCTCTATTACCATTACTCCCTCCGGGGCCTCCTCTACCTCTCGCTCTGCCTCTAAAGTTTCCGTAACCTGCCCTGGGTAAGTCTCTCTCATACTGCTCTCTTTGCGGACACTCGTTCCTCCAATGCCCTTCTTCCTTACAGTACGCGCACTGATTCCTACTCAAAGGCTCCCTATTCCATCTACCATCGCCTCTATCTGGGCCCCGTCTATCTACGCCTGCGATCGCTACCGCTAGCATATCTGCCTTTCTACGCATCTTGCGCTCTTCCTCTTTCTTACTTTCTGTTTCCCTATTCATATATACTTTGTTCGCTACCTCCATTAGTTGGGTGATAGACATACCTGCAAACCCTTCTAATTTCTGTAGCTTGCGCTTAATATCTCCGTAAGCTTGGCTGACAAAGGCGGAGTTTACCATTCGGGAATTATCAGCGTCTTCCGGATTAAAGGGGGTATACAAGCGGTATGCCTCCAATAATCGGTCATAAAAGACACTGGGCGCTTCATCACTTTTCTGAATCACCTCAACTGTCTTCGACATGTTAATAGCTTTCTTCCCTCCGGCTTTCATGCCAGCAATTATAGCATCTCTATAGGCTTTAAGTTGAGCCATATCTGCGCCATTTACATTCCAGTCAGGATCGGTGTTAGGGTAATGTGTTGCGGCCCATGCTGCCGGATTGGCTTGATTTAAAGCACGGGCTCTCTCCTCTAGCGCCTTAATGGCCGCTTGGTTAATCCTTGTCCTTTCCTCATTATTGAACAATGTCATTAATAACTGCTGGCAATCAGCCCATGTCGGGTTATGTGTCTGAACTATCGAGGTGAACAGATCGGTCATAGCTTGTGGTTTCTCAGTGTACGAGGAATTGTGGGTCTTCCAATTCAAGAGATCGGTAGTCGTGAACGGGACATATACGAAGACTGGGTCAGCATGTGCCATTTGACCTGCGGCATCGATATAGGCTGACCCAGGATTCAGACGAAGAGGCATCTGATAATGTTTTAATTGTTGGGTACCGGTCAGTTGTCGGGTTAATATGGGGCTACGTGGAGGGGCGTCAGTTAAAGGTTCCGGTCGAGAGGTAATAGGGCATGAGGATGTGGGAACTTGATTTTGGGAAAAGTTAGTGAATAGTATACTCCGAGCCGAGCTAGAAGAAGCTTGACCTGAAGTTTGAAGTGGCGCCAAATCAGGATATTCAGATCTAATGGGGGTTGGTCCTGGTTCCGGAAGGGGAGTTTTAATACGAGGGGGGGTGGATTCTGTACTGGAAGAGGAAGCGGAAGTGGATGGGGGCAATATGGGAAGGGGTACAGAACTTCCTGCATTCGCATCACTTCCTCTTAAAGGAAAGTAAGGGGGCGGCAAAGGGATCTCGGACTCAGGGGGCGTGTCCAAAATGGGCCTAACACCAGTCCTAGTGGACAAACAAGTCCTGGCCACCATGAGGCGACATTGCTCCTCGTGGCATATCCGGATCCATTTTGGCGAGTCGTTTACGGCCTGCCTCCAACAATCAATGTATGGAAACTGTCCGTAAAGTTCAGGCCTACCTGATACAGCCACGTGTACACGCTGTACCAGGGTTGGATCCAAACTGCCACGCGGCGGCCATGCCGCAACCAAAGTAGGCCACTCCCTAGTGCACAAAGTGACCAAACGTACAGGAGACATTTTAACCCCAAAATCACATGTTTTGAATCCCTTTTTAAAATTCTTTACCATACAACCTAAGGGATCCGAAATCGTTGACTCTGACGCGCCCATACTTATCAATGGAACGTCGTTGACAACGAATACTATGCACGCGTTCTTATTCAACAGTCACACCCGTTTCCTCTGGCAACAGCACCACGTGGTACAGTTACCGAGTGAAACGTACACAATAACACAATAATCACTCAGGGAATTCCCGTACACACACAGCTGTTACACCAGTCACTAAATAATCAATATTATGCCCTTTGGCGAAACTATACAGTCACCCACGCTATAATTCTCTATATATGAATTACCCGTCTATAACACACCCCAGTAACATCGTCTTTTACTAGTATCGGTTACAGTACGGTTAGCATAGGTCAAAGCACAATTTAAGGTCACAATACAATTATTAGTGGTTACGGTGTTAAACATGCAATAGACGACAATGGTTAGTACTTATATACAGTGTCAGTAAATATACAGGTTATGGTACCGTGCACTATGATACAGCAACACACTATTAACACTCTCGCTAGACGGCTGAGCTCGCGCTATCTAACAAGATATACACTTTACTAACAATCTTTAACACATTTACAATCCCAACTAAACTATTGGCCAGTACCTTGAATGGACTACCTAAAACTATATACACCCGTTTTGGTTAGCCACACTGCCCAAACACCACATATAGCGAACTAGAGGGCGAAATTTACAAAATTGCCCTTCTAGTCTATTTACTCTATCAAAAGTCTAGTGGGTTCCAAATTTACACGCCTTCCCACTTAGCCAAGATAGGTTGAGAGCTAGCGAACCGAATTTACACAGGCGCCGCTTAGTCTCCCGGTCCCTCCGACCTAGCGAACGTAATATACACCCTAGAACGCTAGTCTAGACAAGACACCGGTGTCCGGCTAGGGCTATTTACACAGGACCCCGCCTGACTAACCAGATCAAACGGTCTTACTAAAGAGCGTTCGATCGAGCGGTGCGCCTTCGCTCCTTCCCTCCGACAGAGGGGGCAGATTCCATACACAGATTTAAACCCCTTTTGGGCCTACCGCACAATCGGTATACCCCTAGTGGGTCTGCCGTCTAAAACAGCAGTTGTCTTACCTCCTCGTTCCTGAACCTGAGTTCACACTCATCGACGGGGACACCCCAGCACTTCTTACGTAGAGGCCGATGATCTCCTGGACAACAGACCAGTGGCGCCGAGACGAAGGGAGGTCCACGCAGAAGTTCAGGGGTGCAGCCGTAGAGAACGTGGGCAAAAATAGACCGTCTCACGCCTCTGCCTCTCAGCTACCGTTGAACGATGAGCTTCCCGGCCAATGCACCAAATGATACCGGAGAAACTGACGGAAGCAAAGCACAGAGAGATGGACACAGGTTTCTTCAGGAAGGAAGAGATTCTTTATTGGATCACCGATCGGGACTCAGAGGGACTAATGTCACCAAAAATACAGCAAGTTCTGAGCCCTGAACAATAGTGCAGGCTCCCTATATAGGCACATAACTCCTCCCATATTAAGCTCCACCCGCACATTCTCTTGACCAATCATTACAAATAAGAATTAACTTCCTGCTTGACCGCATGGCTTGTCCAGCACAATGGAGGAGGGGAATACTACATCCTGTATTCTTGCACATGCTCCGTATACTACTGATCGTATCTTGCCTCGTGCAACCAACTGATCGATACGTCAGCATATGCACGTACACATGCCACGTGGTAATCTCGGCCTACTAAATTTATTTTTACCGAGATTCCACCACACTTCTTCTTCTTATCCCCCTTCTTCTTAGTACCCCCCATTCTTCTTACTCCCCATTCTGTTGCCTTCTGTTACCCCCTCCTTCTGTACCCCCTCCTTCTGTTACTCCTCCTTCTGTTACCCCTCCTTATCTTGCTCCAACTCCTTCTGTTATTCTCCCTCCTTCTGCTACCCCCTCCTTCTGTTTCCCCCCACCTGTTTCCCCTCCTTCTATTTACCCCCTCCTTCACCATTACTTCTATTTACCCCTTCTATTTACTCCACCTTCTGTACTCCCCTTCTGTTACTTACCCCCCCTACTTCTGTTACCCCCCTCCTTCTGTTACTCTCCTCCCCTTCTATTTACTCTCCCCCCCTCCCTCCCCTTCAACGTAAGCGTGGCGAGTTCCTCTCGATCCACGGTACCGGCGGATGGAAGGTGAACTGCGTGCACTTCCTGTCAGTCGACCAGGCAAAACAAACTCATGATTACCAGGAGTTTCTGTTTCCTGTACCGGCCGGACTGACAGGAAGTGCACACTGAGTGTTCACCTTCCTATCACTCCGGCTGGGTACCGCGGACCGGAGTGTAACTCGGCCACGCTACAGGGAAGGGGAGGTGAGGAGAGAAGCAGCTGCAGCCGCCTGAGGCTCTTTACAGAGCGCTCAGGCGGCTGCAGCATTAGGACTGGCCCTGCAGCGGCCGGTTTTAAAAGGATATAGGGTGGCCTGGGGGGCAATTGCCTCCCTGCCCCCTGGCCCAGCCTACCCCTGTCTCACTGATACATGCACTGACATACACCCACTGTAAGATACACATTCATTGGCACACCATTGGCACACACACTTTTAACCAACAAACACTTTCACTGACAGACACACAATGACATACACTTTCACTGATTACACACACACACACACACACACACACACACTTTCATTTACATACATGCACACTCATTTACAGAAACACACTGACATTCACACCCTCACTCAGACACACTCACTGACAGACACACACTGAATGACACACACACTTTCACTGAGAGACACACTCACTGACAGACAGACACACTGACTGACAGACACACACATTGGCTGAAACACACACACATTCACTGGCAGACACACACATTCACTTACAGACAGACACACACATTCGCCGACAGATACACACTCACTGACATACACACACACACACACACTCACTGACAGACACACACACATTCACTGACAGACACACATACACACAGACACACACACACACACACTTACTGATAATGACACACACACATTCTCTCACACACTCACAAATTGTAATTTTTTTTAAATTTTGATTTATACCCACCCAGCCTCCTTACCTTTGGAAGAGCTGGAGTGGATTATTTCCCTACAGTCCAGTCTAGGTCCTTTTCCAGGGTTCCAGTGTGGCTGCTGTGACTGCCGGCGGGCGGGTGTGTGCGCACATGCAGTTTAGTGATGCTGTGCTGGAGTGACAACATATTGCGAGTCCCAGCATCACAGCGGCGCAAGACAGCAGAACTGAAAGAAAAAGAAACACGAAGAACAGATATGAATTGTGCAACAATCACAGTCTGGAACCGGCTGCGTTAGGAACTCCAATGCGGGCTGGTTCAGGTGACTATAATTCTTAAATTCTTAAATAATTTTTTTCAACATTTCAAAAAACAAATAATACATAGAAAAATATGTCACTATATCAAAAACCTTTAAACTATTACAAAATGATAATATATATATTAAAGAGCCTGATGTCCAAACTATCAAGCCCCAATACTGCTGTAAGAAAGTCAGTGCTCCATCAGCTGATCGTCTGCAATAAGCAAAGCCTGATTTCCAAACTATTAAGCCCCAATACTGCTGTAAGAAAGTCAGTGCTCCATCAGCTGATCATCTGCAATAATCAAAGGAAGCCTTCTGGAAGACCACACTAAGACTCTATCCTGTGTGGCATAATTACATATACATATCCCCCTTCCTTTAGCTTTATTGCAAGCCTTTCTGACTCTCACATATCTTTATTCAACAGCCTGATTTCCAAACTTTCAAGCCCCAATACTACTGTAAGAAAGTCTGTACTGCCTTTAATCTCTCCAATATTCCTTTTCCTCTATCTGACCACCATCTGCTGACTTTTGACATTGGCATACCTAAGACCCAATTGACACCACTGTCTGAACATCAATCTCACAGAAATCTCCAATGTCTTGACCTAGAGCATTTCTCTACTAATCTCCAAACTCTTCTTTTACCTATCTCAAACCTCACCTGTCCTAACTCTGCAACCTATTTCTACAATTCCACCCTCTCCTCTCAACTAGATATCAGGGCACCTCCTACATTTAAATGCAGCAAGCGCCCCCAACAACAACCTTGTCACACCAAGATGACTCGATACCTCCAAAAATGCTCCAGAACTGCTGAACGCTGTTGGAGAAAGTCTCACTGTGCGTCTGACTGTCTCCACTATAAATTAATGCTGTGCTCATACAGCTTGGCTCTTTCCTCTGCAAAAGTAAATTACTTCAATACCCTCATAACCACACTCTCCTGCGAACCCAAACGACTATTTCACACATTTAACTCTCTTCTTCGCCCTATTGTTCCTCCTCCACCTACTAACTTGACTGCCTCAGACTTTGCAACTCACTTCACTGACAAGATCTCTACAATCTTCTTCCCCTTACAATACTTCCCCTAACCTCACTACCTCTGCTGTTCTATGTTCATTCGCACCCGCTCATCCTCTGCAAGATATTGCTCTCTCCTGGTGCTCCTCCTACCTCTCCAAGCACTCTTTCAGTGTTTCTTTCCCTGGCTTTGCTTCTTCTCTCCAACTCCT